TACCACAGACTCAATAAAAGATCTAAGCTTCTTGTTGCCCAATCGTGTGGACTCGATACCTGACCTCTAAAAAACCACATACATAACCCTCCAGGCAGTTATTGCCATGTCTTAACGCCATTTCGCCATACTGTCTATATATACGCTAAAAATTCGAGGCACAATACCGATAATGAAGGAAATATCTGTTGAGCTTGCCCTGGTTGGCCGAGGAGCTTCCTTGTCCTGGCGAGCAAGTTTTTCATCTTACGAGGTCTGACGAAGATGAGACTCATTCTCCAAAGACGGTGTTGTCGTCTTGGTCCATCTGGTCCATTTCCTTGGTAAACTCAGGGGTTTCCTTGAAAGCATATCCAGGGTGACCAGCATTCAGAAGAAGAACAGCAATGCACATCATGCTAAGAACAGTTAGTGGGTTGTTGCTATAAATGTGACAAGCTTCAAGGGCTCTTACCAAGATTCAAGAGCGATGTAGAGACCTTCGTCTCGAAAGATAGCACTGAAGTATCCTCCATTGAGCTCGGCAATTCGGTAGCCACATCGAATCAAGATGAAGATAGTCGAAAGGAAAAGGAAGAAGAGAAAAGTCAGAATGGACTTGGTAAGACGATGTCGGGCCGGTGACTTGGAAGCCCTGATAACGTAGTCGATAAACAATGCAACGAAACAAAGTAGAGTGACAACTTGGAAGACGAGGCCAGCGATGGAGACGTCCTCTCCAGTCTTGACGTCGTCCTCCGCTGTGGAAACAACTGAGACTGCACCGCCGACGGCTTGGAGGATGAGAGAGATGATGTCGGAAGGGATGAAGATCCAGTAGAAATACTTGGGGGAGAATCGAGAGATGTTTGGGTCGACAAAGTTGATGCTGAGAGTGTCAGTTGTGCTTCCTTTAAGTGGACTGAGGGAACTTACACCTGGGACAGAAGAACATAGATGGCAGCAGAGAAGAAAACGGGGGCAATGGTGATCATGACTGGGCCAGAGTTAGTCAAGTTCTCCCTTTCCATCCATCCCTTGTTAGAGTTTGGTTTAGAAACACTTACTGATCTGCAATAGAAAGCCAATAAAGTCGAATGGATTATCGTGGATGATGAGTCGTCCAATGTAACCGATAATCTCGAGAATACATCCTGCCATCATACTCACCATGAAACCCCATGTCTTCATCTTGATACCTTGGAAGATGTGGAGAGCCATGGACAATCCGAACACTCCAATGAAAATGGCATTGGCGGGAAGATTTGGTTGGTATCGCAGTATACTGGACTCGAGGGGACATAATTCGAGAGTACAGTTGGCATCGGAGCCGAATGAGATAAGGCCGTCGGGTAGTGGTGTGTGGCTCATGTTTGCGATCTTCACAACGTCGTCGAGTTAGAGTTGATAAACTTTTCGGTAGGGCTGGGCTATATATGCAGCAAAAGATCAGAGCTCGCACTTTGTTTATTACTGTTGGATGGCAGTTATGATGTGATGGATTTGGATATCTGGGGAAGACAGCAGGTTCACGTCTTTATAAAGGGGCAGGTTTCAAGATATCAGATCTCGGCACCCGTCGGGACAAATATCCAAGATCTGACTCCGCGGGCATAACGACCCAACTACGTCAACTGGCACCACTGATCCTGAATTCCTATACTATTTCAGTTGCAGTGGAGAAAAAAAGCCGATTGTGCACTTCAGGATCAGGTGGGTCCGGGTGCGGCATGAATCCGTGGCTCCGGCCGATCGGGCGCCGCGGGAGACGGACAGGCAAAATGGACATGAAACACGAGGCTGAGCTTGATAGAGTTGTATAATTCGCATTGATACGAGGGATCTTGATAAGCTATTTCTAGATTTAATGAGATTCCACGTCAGCATGGCATGGTCCGCGCGAGTGTTGTTGGGTTAGAGTTTGCTGTGGACTGTTGCTAGGGATAGAGAACGTTGCTGGTCAGCCCAGGAGCCATTGGGTATGCAAAGATGCATCGCGAAATTCGTTATCCTTACGCCATAGCTAGTGGCTCTAGCATGATTATCTCGGCCGCAACGGGCATCTACATTCCCTACCTTGCATGATCTAGCTCGGCAGTGGTGACGCGATATACTTCCCATGGTGATGGCTGCATCGTGTCAGATCGTGACATGGCACTAGGGGTCCAAGGCGATGCTGATCTTATTCTATATTCATTTTTATACAAATTTTGTTGTATTCGTACTCAGCCCTAGAGCATTGTCCTCACTGTAAGTCTATGCTTAAATTCTGGATATTCACAGCCCGGTTAATCCAAGCTGGAGAGAAACGTAGGGTAGACTTGACATCTATCATATATAGGTTAGTACTTTACAGGTCAAATTGGATCAAGAAATGAAAATTCCACCAGTATTCAGTTAGTACTTTTTCATAATATGTAAAGATCAAATAGGAACATGATAGTGCCAAGTAATGAGGCTCAACATCTCCTTAGATCTACGTTGATATTGTTGCCGAGTTGGAGTTGTAGTTCGGACTCAGCCAAGCCGGAACAGGAAGCTTGGCCCGGGGGCCCGAGTCAAGCCGACTCCGTTGTCAGCTGCGACATCAAAGTGATCCTTCAATCTGAAACCATTTATAATGTGGACCATATCCCATCGCTTCAGATTCGGATAAGTAAGCCATGTCGATGTACTATTACTGATAAGATGTTATCTCTCCGTTTCCCATATTCTTCCAGCCAAGATTTGGATTTTGGCTGAGGGAGTATCCTATTACTACGCGTATCATGTGTTTTCACCAGGCGACAGTCAAGGCCACAGATGTAGTGTATCTGCGGTAATTATGTGTCCTCTGCATATAAAATGCTGCAGTATATTTCGAAACGGTTGATGCCTAGGTAGATGCTCTATCCACGAATATGAAAACACTTGTCTTCATGATACAGGCAGACTCGCATCCGAGACACGTGTACCAACTACGCAGTTGAAAGAGTCAGAACCCTCAAAGAAACCGTGTTCATTTTAGGAGTCAGAATAAAAGTCGTCATTGCGCCTAACAAAAGACACTTGCCTCCATCACGAGGGTCAAGTCTGCATTCAGGTGATCAGCTCTGTTGACTCGAGACATATTCCTCTATTTGTAGCACCTACTTTCAGTGGGTCACTCACTAAGCCATCACCGTCACGCGAAAAAGGTGCCCCGCCCCCGCTCGCGGGAGTTTCGGCGCCCACTTCACCTCCTGGGTCCATTTTCAGCTCAGCTTATTAGCTTCAACCACTAAACGTTACCTACTTTACCTTATCCTCAAACTTATTCTATTACACCTACAGGAACCCTTTTCCTTTCTCCTCCTGAAACCCTCTCGGAGACAATTACCCTCTTCTCCGTTGGTCAAACTCCCGCTCACATTTAGCTTTAACTGCCGAGTTACGCACGAGGTCTCACCTCGGATTGCAGCCATGTTTGACCTTTTTCCTATGCTCTTATCGTAAGCTTCAGCCCTATACCTCTTCGTCATGAGGCGTCATACTCGCAATTGCGATAAACCACCCCAATCAGCTCGCAATGCCAATGGATCTGATTTACTGACTGTTTGTTTCTTCTCAATAGTTCTGTCGCCTGTTATCTGTTTCCTATCTTTGCATCTTACAAAGCGCTCAAGACACATGATCCCACCCAGCTGACGCCATGGCTGATGTATTGGGTGGTGCTCAGTTGCTGTCTTCTCGCTGAGTCTTGGGTTTGGTTTATTGTGTCATGGTATGTCCAAGCCTCATACCTGACACCTTCTGTACTGACACCAGCAGGATTCCGCTTTACGGCTATTTCCGTTTACTATTCCTCCTCTACCTTATCCTCCCACAGACGCAAGGCGCTCGACGTCTATACGAAGAATATGTCCATCCTTATCTTGAAAAGAACGAGACGCAGATTGACGACTTCATCGCAAGTGCACATGAGCGCTTGACTGCTGCCGGAATATCTTACCTCAAGCTCGCTATCGAGCAGTTCAAGGTCAAGGTCCTCGGTCTTCCACCATCCGAACCCGAGTCGCCTCCTCCCGAGCCTGCGCAAGGCTATACGCAGTCGCTCCTGTCACGATTCAACGTCCCTGCTGCGCGATGGGCTGGTAACACCAGCAGCGGCACCGACTTCTACAGCCTACTCTCCAGCGCTGTGGCCGCTGCTACCAACGCAGGTGCAGGCGCAGGTGGACAATCGGCTGGTACGAGAACAGTTGGAGGTGAGCCCACAAACTCGGGCGCATTGATCCCACCGCATCTTCGCGAGTCTGGCGCCAGAATGGACTTCATCTCGGCTCAGCGCGATCGCCTAAATGTCCTGATCTCGGCACTTGATCGGGAGGCCCAGGATCTTCGCACCGAAGCCCAGCGTGCCCAGACAAGCACAGGCTCTCGCCGCGATCCGATGGCCTACGGAGGTTATGATAATAATGAGGAAGACGAACCTACCCAGAGACCACCTAGTGGACTAAGCGGATGGAGTGGTATTAGCAAGAGTCGCAGCGAGACCGATTTCGAAAGGATCGACGCAGAGACTAGTTCGGACGAAGACCATCGCCAGGTGCGCCGAAGAAACCAGGGAGCTGGCACTAGAAATGCATCAGGCTCATGGGTTCCTTGGGGATGGGGCGGGGATGCCGCATCAGGTGGCGGAGCGAGCGCTTCCGGAAGGGAAAGATAGAAACTCCATTCTGGGAAGTGGGTTTTGAATGATCATGGGTCTTACTAAGGTCCTCCGTAGATATGGTGTTTTTCTTTGCCGCGGGCCCGTTGATATTAGGCGCAATAAATGCTCCAGTGCATATCTATAAATGGGAATTGGTGTACATGAACTCGTTCTTCTTTTGAGACAGCCGTAGATCTCGGTCCGATGATTCGTTCCGTCCGTTTTCCTCTGAATTACTACAGTATCGCTCCATGCGCCAAAGCCATACGTCTAACTCATCCATATCATACAGCAGGGGACTCGCCCCGAGATTCTATACAAATGTAGTGCAATGAAGACATGAGAGATCCTAACAAAACTTGTATGGGTACGCTGCCTCAGCGAGACCCTTCTTGTAGAAAAAAGTCCTCTTCTTCTTAGTGACTGCGTGCTCGACCCATTTTTCCTCTATGTAATGCTTTTTGAACCAGCGGATGTACACAGGATCCCAGAGTTCAGAGGCGATACCGAGATCCTTGCAGCAACGCATCAGGGCGTTGGATTTGGCACCCTCAATGGCGGCAGGGATAGATTCGGGGCTGAAGAAATTGTTGTAGCCCTGCGATTGGGAGACGATTCTGTTCTTGTTAGTCAATATATGATACTGGAAATTGCTTCACTTACCGGCCGTGCACGATGAGGGCATATTCACGCGTCACAATCTGGTTGCCGATAATGACCTCCCCACGATGGACCATTCCCCAAGCCATCGGTCCAAACGCTTCATTGAGCCGCCGTCGGTACTTGACCTCTGGCAAATAGATGATACCATCGGGCTTGACCTCCACATCAGCAGCATCAACTGGTCTTGCGAGAATCTCATTCTGCTCAGGAGTAACAGCCTTCACACCAAGGCCATACCAGCTCTTCTCCCAGTTAATGTGGTCTGTGTTCTCTGTATCCGTCTCGCTAGTCTCGCTCAGAATGGTCTTGGACACTGTAACAGGCTTGTGTGGGCTCTCGGGCTTAGCAGTCTTGTTACTCGCCGGGGGGTTTGCAGGAATTGTCTTTGGCGGAAATGTAGACTTTGTAGATGCGGCTGCAGGTGTAGATCTCGCAGCTGGCGACTTCGCAGTCGTAGTCGCAGTCGAAGGTGCAGCTTTAGCTCTGGGAGTATATTTGGGCTTCACTTGTGTAACATCTTCAACAGCTGATGCTTCGGTAGCGTATCGTGCGATTGGACGAAAGGAGATGGGGAGTCTTCGGGCGGCGAAGAGGGCGCGACGAGGGACGAGCATTGTGGGTTGATATGGGGAGTCGGATGTGGTAAGCTTAGCTTCAAGCTTGATGAAGCTTTGGTGATAATTAATTTCAAGGGCGGATGGATTGATTGTCCGGTGGGGACAGTGCTAGTTAGTACTGTGTATGTCGTATCATGATGCCTTGATTGAGTGAACGCATTTGGGAGTCATCGTTTCCTTAACCGCCCTGAAAGGAGAGCATGATCTTGCTAGTATACATTTTATACAGTAATAATACAGAACATGTCCCTCAATGCGACTTTAATTGTCCTTGGTCTCTGTTCGTTGGTCGTTGTTATGAGCCTTCCAGCACTGTTTGAATTGCTCCATCTACGTATGATACTGTCAGTTCAGGTCTATGACAGCATAAAGAGCAATGTGATAAGGCATCTCGAAATAATAAACGGAATTGAAATGGATTGGATTTAGATACTTACTTCTGCAGCACATGCACGCCAATCCTTCTTTTCAAAGTAGCAGTCCGTCATTTTTGCGTTCTCATCTAAGTTGGTGACGCCTGTTAGCGAGCCTTTTCCTCAACAGAACGATTGATGAGCGGGTAATTGAGGCGTAGACTTATAGAACCTCATAGAGGCCCTACATCTTCCTTTGTATCTTGCCATTGGGTTTTGTGAGAAAAAGAAGACTCACCCGCGCATCCAGTGCTAAAGATCCGCTTGTCCCTTCATCAGCGGTTAGCAAAGGCCTCGGCTTTCGGTGTCTCAACGGAAAAGAGCGCTCACTCACCATTCATCGGGCTCATCGTCGTCTTCTTGCGTGCTCTGCTGAGCGTTACTCTCTACTTTTGTCATAATTTCGACCCGTCTCTTGTCGAAAATTGTGGTGATTGAGTCTTGCGTGTTATCGTTGAAAGAAGTTAAAGGTGGTTCGAGGCGGAGATTTGGCTGAGGCGAGATCCAGCAAAAGTCAAGTGACAAAGACTGCACGAACAACACCGATATCACCAGAATCTGCCAAATACGAACAATGGCACCTGCAAAGCTCAACGTGCTTGTTTACACAGGTTTGATCCATCAGCTCCCTTCACCGGCTCTTACACCCACTGATTCACTACCAAGGCATTGGCACGACAGTTGAGTCAGTGCGGCATTGTATCTGGTCCCTCCGCCGTCTTCTCGGCCCCAACTACGCCGTCATCCCCATCACCGAGAACATCGTCCTCAAAGAACCATGGCAAGCAACATGCGCCCTCCTCGTCTTCCCAGGCGGTGGCGATCTCGGCTACTGCCAGGCACTGAATGGTGAGGGAAATCGTCGCATCGGCGACTATGTTCGCCGAGGAGGCTTTTATCTAGGCTTCTGTGCTGGCGGCTACTATGGGACGCAGAAGTGTGAGTTTGAAGTGGGAAATAAGCCCATGGAAGTTATTGGACGAAGAGAGCTAGGCTTCTTCTCAGGAACCTGTCGAGGTGGTGCGTTCAAAGGCTTTGAGTATCGGAGTGAAAGGGGAGCGAGGGCTGTGCGTTTGACGGTACCCAAGGGTGCCTTTGAACAGGAGGTTGCGTCTGAAATCATCTCTTACTATAACGGAGGAGGTGTCTTTGTTGATGCCGCTTCGGTCAAAGACAGAAAGGTCGAGGTTCTCGCTACTTACGATGAGGAGCTTGATGTCGATGGTGGTGATGGAAAGGCAGCAGTTGTTCTTTGCACTGTCGGAGATGGAAAGGCTTTGCTTACTGGCCCTCACCCTGAGTACGTTTCAATCTGTTTACCGTATATCTGTACTGACTGATACACTTTAGGTTCGCTGCGGCCAACTTGAATCCTCAGCCAACCGTCCCTGGGTATGATGACCTGGTCACCAAACTAGCAGACGCTGATAAGGACCGAGCTACTTTTCTCAAGGCATGTCTCACAAAGCTCGGCCTTGAGGTCAGCCCTCACGACACTGGTGTCCCGTCGCTCTCCCATCTTCACCTCTCCTCCATCACCGACACAGGCGTATCAGAGCTATTGACTGAGTGGAGCGACATCATCGACAAGGAGAACGGCGAAGAATGGATCCGAGCAGAAACAGATACATTTCACATCCAGAATGAGGATACAATCTGGAGTCTCGAAGGGCTCCAGCAATCTCTGACAGAGACAACGGATTCCCACATCTCCGAGAATGGCAGCATTGACTACAGCATGATCATCAAGAAGATCTTTCCTCACGAGAAGGGTCTTCCCCACCCCAAGCTTACACCACATTTCAACCATGGCCTGTTCTTTTCAAGCCTGAAGCATTATCGGCAAATTGAGCCAACTGCTCGGGCATGGGGTGACTTGCTCATGTACGGCGAAGTTGTCACAAGTACAAATACCATGCTTGAGAAGTATGTTCCCTCCCAATGTCCCAATCAGGAGACGTACAATACTGACATGCATCAGGAACCCCAAGCTCATGCCTAAACTCCCAAGTGGCTTCACAGTCTCAGCTACCACCCAAGTTGCTGGCCGTGGTCGTGGTTCCAACGTCTGGATTGCTCCTCCTGGAATGCTCATCTTCTCGACTGTAATCAACCACCCAGCCCACCTGGCTGTGACTCGTCCGGTAGTCTTTATCCAGTATATCACGGCTATTGCCATGGTTGAGGCTGTGCAGTCTTATGATCGTGGCTACGAGAATATTCCCATCAAGCTAAAGTGGCCCAACGACATTTGTAAGTCTATTCAGCTCCCCTACAAGATCAAGACTAACATCATTAGATGCCCTTGACCCCATAAAGTCAAAAGAGAAACCACAATACGTTAAAGTCGGCGGCATTCTCTCCCAGTGTCTCTATTTTGACGGCAACTACCAAATCATCCTCGGCGTAGGCCTCAACACCATCAACCCCCGTCCCACAATCTCCATATCCGACCTTGTTCCCTCAGGGGCACCAGAACTTCATCTCGAAACGCTCCTAGCACGCGTTCTCACACGCATCGAAGCGATCTACGCTCAGTTCCTTCGGGAAGGGTTTTCAGCTGATCTTGAAGCCCGTTACTACCGCCACTGGCTACACACTAGACAAGACGTCATTCTCGAGGCAGAAGGTGGTGTCAAGGCTCGTGTGGTGGGAATTACGCGAGATTGGGGAATGCTGAAGGTTGAAGAGGTAAGTTCTACCGGGAAGTCGACTGGGAAGATCTGGGCATTGCAGAGTGATGAGAATAGCTTTGATTACTGGAAGGGCTTGGTCAGGAGGAAGATGTGAGAATGCATATGTGGTATCAAAACGTTGGGAGCGACAGATACGCATTAGCCAACACTAGTCATGAAAACCATTCTATGGTTGCTTACCAATTAGATCATGCCATATTTGGTTTGTCAGTAATCGGGGCCCGAGTCACAAAGTTATCCTGCTGAAGACTGTTTCTTGTCTATGGAAGCATAGATAGTGACCCAAATCTATGGGACCGACATCTAAGATGATCTTCCAGACTTTGAGATGGTAGAATCTCTTGCAGACGGTACAGTATCTCCTCTGTTGCCGTCACATTAGGTATATTTTTACTGGCAGAGGTTAAAGGACGGTACAGAAGCGCTTGGTAGCATACGTTGGACCCCTTGGTAAGGGTTGTGCCTACAAGAATCGGCTGAGAGAACATCAAATGCACATCGAGGGCCCGAGAATGTATCTCAGAGTATGTGTTGATCCAGTGAGAAGAATCACGGGCGTGAGAAGTACCTGGATTATCCATCTATGTCATCAACTCTTATTTATCTGAGTGATGCTGTCATCCTCAACACTTGATGTCCCTCAGCAACGAAGCATTTTCCAGGCCATCTTTATATACGAATCGCCCTTACTAACTGGATAATCCCTAGGCTTTTTTTCTTTGTGCTGGCATAATTAACCAGAGCTGAGGTTATGCTCTGAGTGTATGGACCTCTTCTTCTGTTACTCACAACCCTGCCAGGCTTAACATCTAACCACAGATGATACTGCAGCTAGTCAATGTTGATTTCTCCCCCAATTCTACCGTCGCTAAAACTATTTAATCCTCTGGGGGGGCTACTCTGCAGTGTGACATTCTTGACTGCTCGTTCCCTCGCCAGTATCATCCTTCGCGGACAGACACTTCCACTTTTTCAAACACACAATGTGCTTTTTATTCACCGATCCTGACCTCATGTAAGTTTACAAGACATCTGGGTTGGTATACCGGAGTTGCACTCACTCTCGACAGCATTGATGAACCCGGATTGCAATCTGCTGACCTCAACATGGACAAGAAAGGGGATACACTATCGGAGGAAGAGGCTGCCTCGAACCGCCAGAGATACGAGGCTCGTGATTTCAAAGACCTCACTGGTCATACATTCGGCACAATTCCTCCGGATTTCAAGCCAGTACTTACCATACCACGGACAGAGCGCCATGACCAAGGCATTTCGGAACCTGCAGCCGACTTGACGATCATTGAGAGGTTTACCACAGTCACGCAGTCAGAACAATCCATAACGACGAGTATTCCGCGAAGGCTCACCCCGGGCACCGAGATAGAGATAGTCACCATTATTGATGGAACTAAGTTCATCCCCCTGAGCAGCACATCAGACGTGACGAGCCCCAGTCAGGGGTCAGAGAACATTTCACTTGAGGAGACGACTACTGAGGAGCCTAGCTTGAGCACCACGAAAACTCTGTTCGCTTCAACCTTATACGAATCAAGTGAAGAAAGCTCTTTGACTACATCATACACCACCGATTCAAGCACTGAGCTTCCACCACCGTCTTCATCCCCGGCTGCGTCTGAAACGTCAGCTCTATCAGATACCACCAAAATTGCAATAGCGGTTGTCGTATGTCTTTTTACCGTTTGTGTTGCGATATTCGTCTTTTATCAGGTACGAAGGTGCGTAAAGAGACGCAATCCGCGGTATGGAGAGCAACATGAACTGCAACCTGAACCACGACATCAACCGCGATATGTACCGCGGTATGAACAACGATATGAACCGCAGCATGGACCGCAATATGGGCCATCAACTAATGTATCTTTCAATGTTACCCACAACCGTGCCGAGATACAGCCACAACAAGCGGTTCCGGACTATGGGTGGAAAGCTTGAAAGTCCCAACGACTCAAGGTGACATTGATTAACAAGGATTTGATTCAACACGGACGCAGTGTCTTTCCATAGTTATTGAGTTGCACAAAATATCACTATCTCCTCTGAATCGTTGCGTTACGCAGCCTGATCACACCTGATCTAACTAGTCTCGTATAACAACTTACAATGACTGCAATGCATCTTCAACAATACATTGGAATACCCTGAATCAGTTCAGTGTGCCACTTATATATAGTCCTCCAAGGCCCCTCCCCCTGTGTTCGATGTATTCTCAAGCCTCCACGAGCATTTACCCAACTCCCCAATCGTCCAAGTAAAAGGCCTGGCTTGTTTTACTTATCTCATCGGCAATATAAAAGTCTATTAGATCATGGAGAATCAGGAGATCTCCGCCTCTCATGAGACTGATTCTTCGTCCAAAACCCACCATAATGACCCTCGCGAGCTTGTGGACTTGACTGGAAGTGTCTACAGCACAATTCCATCTGGCTTCAAGCCAGTTCTTATACTTGCATCCTTATATCTTCCAGGAAAAGGCAGAGAGGATGTAACACTCATCGACAAGGTTGATGGTACTTCTACCAAAGATGGCGTGATAGTCATAGGTACCGAGACTTGGGAACCTTTCACGGGGTATACAAGGCATAAGCACGAGACATTCACACTTTTCTTGCGTCCTACGGAGACCACGAGCAGCGATAACGATATAGTCAGCATCATCAGCCATTTGACGCTGCCAGGTCCAACTCCGACAACCTTGAGTGAGGAGTTGACTTCAAGTTCGTCAACCTCAGAGAGTTTGGCAATTCCAACTGCTGAATCTTCAGACGGCCCTCTATCTGTAGGTGGATGGATCTCTGTATTAATTATGGCCGTATTTGTGCTTGTCCTATCTGCCCTGGTCGCTGTGGTTTTAGTGATCCGTTCGCGTTTCAGGCACAATCAGAACAATTTCAACATCCAGCTCGACGATGCTCCCTTTGGGCGCACTTACACAGAGCCTGTGCAGCTTGTAGAGCCAGCGCCAGCGATTTTGAAGTCATGAATGATTGCACGACGTGGGAATGATTGTGGCTGTACGCCAGGTTGACACAGATGCAGAGCCTCATGATAGCACTTATTAGTTACACAAATAGCATCATCTTTCCCTGAATCGATCACTCTTGATGAGTCTATTCACTACTATATAAGGCTCATCACCCAAAAGTTCATAGCAAGTGACTAGATCTCTGATCTAGACACCGACTTACCTTTGAATCAGCCCAGCATGGTGACTATATACATGGCCCTTGGAGCCGTTCTCCCGAGAGCGATTTCGACAAACAGTAGATATGGCAAACAGTGCTTTTCCCCCCCTACCATGACTTTAAATGACTGCTCCAGATGGCTATTTTCTTTCTTGACTCTGAGCATATGTAAGTAGAACTCAGCCTCTGGATTCTCTCAACTCCTGACATTATGGTAGCGACGATGCTCAAAGCCAGTCTCCTGACCTGGAAACGACCGAAAGCGAAGAATTTGAACATGAAAACACAACGCATTTCCTTAATGAGCCTCGCGTCTTCGTCGATTCCTTGGGCCATACCTATAGCGACATGAAATCCAACCAAGAACCGTATTCGACTTACGCGAAGATCATTACAATCCCACACAAAAAGGTTCAAGAACCGGTGACCTTCACCTCAAGGCACACGATAACCATTACCTCGATGGCAACTCTAACTTCGTTTACCACTATATTCGAAACAAAGCACCTGGGTCCTGTTGATCCATTGCCCAAAGTCACTTCAAAGATCACTACCCATATAACAATAACAGCTGTCAAAGACCATTCGACAAGTTCCGCTTGGGCAAATCGACTAATCACAGACCCCAGCCCTTCATTCCCTCCCAGCGTTGATCCGAGCGCTGATCCATCACTTTGGAGTACTGTTACTATAAGTGACGGGATACGTTCAAGCTCAGTCTTGACTTCATCGTATACCACTAGTCAAGATGAACCAAATCTACCAACAACTACTACAGAAGCTTCTTCTTCAAAACACTCTTTAACAACAGCTGAGGTAGTGCCTATGGCACTCGGTGTGTTCTTCATACTTGCCTCAACATGTTTGATAATCCATTCTTGGTTACGAAGTCGCCGAAAACGAAAAAGCACCAGGCCCGGCACTTGTGTATCCCGCGGCGTGGAAACTTCACGATCAAACCCAACTCCGTCAAACTCGCCATACGGCCAAGAGCTCAACCCTGTATTGACCCTCTATCGCTCTACCAATGCAAACACACTTCTAACTACCGATGCACATCGTATGTCTTTCGAGCTCAATGACAATGGTTACAACATGGGCCTCAAATACTATAAATTGGGACCTTCTGGTTCGAGCCATCCTGACGGACACAATGCAGACCTCGACCAAGATCCTGAGTCAAAAGGCTAAGGGCGTGCAGAATAGCAAAGTTTGATATAAGAAAGTATTTCTCAAAGCTTGATCTCTCTTCACTTATCAGAAGCTCACGTTAAATCTCCGCATATGACTCAGACTTAAAATACTCCTTTTGCAAAACCTCGACATCGGGTCTGAATTAATGCCATGTGACACTGTGACAGCGTTAGAGTCTGCAGCAAACAACTGTCGTAGAGTTTTGTTGGCAACCATGAGAGGATTCACGCACAAAACTTTATCAATAGATATATATGGAAGCCTAGAAGTACAAGACATAAATGGAACTTGACACGCAAAACATCTGGATATTGCCCCCATCTCATCCGTTCTGCCTTGTCTGTTCTTTATCCCCCTAGACCGCTATATTTACTACAACCATCGAAGACTCGACTTGACTACGCCCAACTTCCAGCATCTAGCGGCGTTTTGTTACTTTCAACACTTTGCCAGATGTTGCTTCCCAAACTCTCCTTCCTAGCAGTTATTGCAATACCCGTAGCTGCCCTGGAATGCCAAAATGAAGTCACAGACGCGGCGATAGACCGCGACTGGTTGTTGTCGGGTTGGTAGGTCACATATACTTCATCTCTCAAGTCTATACTGATATATTCTCTCTGTATAGTGGCCCTTGTCGCCAGTACTCTTCCGAGACTCACCTTGAAATGCCTAATGACGACCCCGACGGCTTCAGGTATGATGAAGACAACGATGCAACCTACAAGCGTATCTGTGACGCATGCCGCAGTAGATATGGCCCCAAACAGCCAGGTCGCAATGACGATGGCCCTAGGCAGTCAGACAAGGTCATAGCCAGCCCGATCACGGTGCTCAGCTTGCCCAGGGAGACACCAACCACCACGAGTATAATAACAACACAGACGACGCCTCGCGTTGAATGGCTACCCCCTCCAGGTCCCGATGATAGCGCTACATTTAGTAGCAATAATCCTCAACAGCCGAGCCACGGTGACTTTGACCCCGAACAGCCAAAAAACGATATTACCAGTTCGATCGCAGGGGTCAAACTACCCAAGGAGACGCCAAGCATCACGAGTATCCGGATAACACAGACGAAGCCTCGCGTCGGATGGTCAACTCTTCCAGGTCCCGACGACGGCACTACCTTTACTTGGTTTACGAAAACAACAACGCATACCGAGACTGAAACCACCACCACGACGGCATCCACTACTATAAGTCTAAGGAAGAGTACAGCAACATCCACGGGTCTTGGTGAGACCACGGCAACATCAACGAGTCCGGAGAGGAGTGCAGCGACATCGATGGGTTTGACTGAGACTTCAGCAACATTGGGCCCAGAAGAGACTGACACTCCAACGCCACCAAAGAAAAAACGCTCTTCTGGCCTTCAAACGGCCGGCATCATAATTGCGGTTCTATTTTTCATCTTATTCACCGGTCTGATCGCCTGGAAATGCCTTCAACACCGCCAGGAGATCCAATTTGTTGATGAGGGCCATCAGGATCCAATGAGTGAAGCTAGTGGTGTTGGAGGCAGCGCCTTCGACGATTCAGACTCAGAGGCCGATGGAGGACAGGCCAGAAATCTGGTAGCCTCGGTGAGGGACTGGTTCAGAAGGCACCAGTTTCCGTTTCTTCCACCAGATGAGCCTGAAGAGGATGACGAGGAACCCGACGACGACGAACCTGAGCCCCATCCAGTTCCTCCCCCTCCCCCTCCTCCTCCTCCTATTCCTGAGCAACCAGTTCAAGCTCCCGCTGCTGTAGCGCATTCAAACATCCCACCCCGTCCTCCCGCTATCACAAGACGTCAAGTCCGGGCCCCTTCGGTTCAAGTGCCAACTCCTGACCCACCTCATAATCGGAGTAGCTCGAGTGTCTACAGCCAGGACAGCGGATATCCAGGGTCGCTCGAAATACCCAGGCCACTCTCTATACACAGACCCCGTCCTAGACAGGAAGAACCTCGGCCGCCTCGAGAATGGAGGACAGCTGGAGAGCCTGTGCAAACTGAACGTTATGGTTGGGTTTAATCTTGGGATTTCGCCTTGGATGGGACGGAATGGAAGATATCTTTGGTTACATCTGTATGATTTCATCAGTGTGTTACATCTTGTGGGGAAGTGCTCCTTTTCATGATTTAGACTTATTACACCACGTATAAAACCTGGAGACAATTTATAAGCCTAGAAGAATCCAGCAGGGGCTTGGTGGCTATAATAGATCAATATCCAGTGAGGTGTGACTGTCTCAGGGATACTAAAATATCGTCCCAAAACACACAACGTTGCTTGAAGAGACACCTGTTGCCGAGATATGACCCTCAACTCACGCCAACTCGTGGCCTCATTTGCACTCACATCCAATCCAAAGGTGCTCCGTTGATATCGTACAGTTGTATTAAACATAAGATAGCATAGGTCGTCTGTCTCTTTTTTCTTTCGTCTAAAAACCAACCAACCAACCTCGAGCGGCTCATCACGCCACCGATAACCCAATAAACGCCGTGCCATGCCGCAGTCGAGTGAAGATGTACATTGTATACATGGAGAAAGTAAACTCCTCCCTCCCGTCCCTCAGAACTCCTTTACGATGTCATCGTACAAGTGTTGCTTTTTCCATTTTTATTTGCTCAGGGAGTGTCGTCAGTCCTTGTAGACCTTGGGCTTGAAACCCTCTTTGATTTCAGCCTCTTGCTCTATCTTCTCCCGTATAGGACCGATCTCTCGCTCGAATCGCTCCTTTGCTCTTACGATCTTACTCTGGAGATAGAAGCTGCCGCCCTTTTGAGGGTCGTTGGCGTCAAACAGTCGCTTATAACGTGAGAGAACCTCCTCGACATTGGCTTGTCCACCAGCCGGAGGCTTGACGTTGAGAATCTTGCATGCCTCATCGAGAGTCATGCCAGAGGAGAGTGAGGCACCAGCGGATGGGTTGCCCGCCTTGGCCTGCGCTCGCTGGTACGCTGAAGCAGCCTGAGCCTGCTTATAAGCTGCGACGAATGATCGACCGAGGATTCGGGAGCCTGTTAGGAAGGCTGTGACCACGAATTTGTGCGCCTATGATAATATGTTAGCCGCCACTCCAACCAATGCGGCGAATCTCGAAGTAAAGAACATGGCGGGCATGATCCAAGCCGTGGGCGCATACCATTTTGAAGAATTATGGGTGATGTAGACGAATTGATTATCGGAAGAAAAGGTGGAGATATCGCTGAGAAGCGACGTTGAAATAGCGGCCCTCGTTCGCGACGAAGGAAAGGATCGTGATGGCGCTGCTAGAGACTTTTTCCCCGGGTGCAAAGTCGGCGGAGGCGGATCATTCCGAGGTCGGAATTTTGCACCTCCGATCAACCGGCGGCGACACAGAATCTGCCGTAGTTTAGCCGTATGATATATTCACCATGATTCACCGAGCTCACCGAGATAAATGCCCCGCGATGGAGCTGCAGAACAGAATATTAGCTGATCGCAATGAGATGCGTGGATATAATAATTTCATGAACTGATTCTGAAACTTGTCACTGAATTTTATCTGTCAAGTGATTTATTCTCTCGTTTGTTACCTTCATGTGAAGCTTTAGAAGCTTAATTTATTTTGTCGAACCTCTTCAGCAAAATTCTATAGGGTATCTCAAGTAGGCTGGTGTAACTAATTCGACGACCAACTTTCTGTATCATATCTCACACTCCACAAGAGAAGCTGACATCATGTCTATGTCACCTCAAGACGTGGCTGTCCTGATACAGCGTGAAGGAAGCGGAGCATCGCCAGAAACTTACGATGCCGCCAACGAACATGAGGATGCGGTTCTGAAACGAACAAAGCTATTATCTCCCGTGCTCGAAACTCTTAAGCAACAAGATCCTTCTTCACTAGAAGCTACAGCCAAGGCGTTAGGCGACGGAAGTCGAGATGGTAAGCGTGAGATCGCCCCATAGGTTGATTCGTTAACACGGACACAGTGGCTTGGAGACTCCCCTATGGAGATTCGGGAATTCTCGAGTTCTTCCTTGACATTCTTGCCTCAGATGAGAAGCAGCCTCATGGTATCAAAGTCCAGGCTCTGCGTGTTACTGGAAATTCTTGTGCTGATACAGACCAAAATCGAGGTCGAGTTGTTAAGGGCAAGTATATCGTTTCTTTCATCAAGCACCTTCAGGACATGAGTCTTGTTCCGTACTTGATTCCGGTGCTCTACAACGTCCTTGTTGATTATGGTGAGTCTTGAATACAACGCTCGAGTGGCACAACACTGATATTCGTAGAACCTGCTCAACGTCTTGCTTCAGAGTCACGACTCAGCAGTCATCTCATCACTCTCCTTCAGTCACCCAATCGCGCTGCTTTCAGCCCTCTTGTCACGTATTTCTGCAAGATCCTTGCTCTTCTTATCACACAAGATGGCGAGGTAGCTGTTGCAGATTATGAGACGGCCTCTGTTCTCCTCACATTGGCAGTCAGCCCTGACCACAGCACTGATATCGAGGATTTTCTCGCCCTCGTATCTACCGCGGCCAGTTATCTTGCCAATGAATCCTTCCAAGAGCGACTCCTCAACTCAAAAGAAGTAGATGTCTTCGTCAAGACATTCTACATCGCACATACCCAATTCGACTCAGAGCTTGATGACGAAGACACTGCCAAAGAATTAGGGCAGCTGTGTACTTCATTGCTAACAACCCTGGCTGACTTGACTGGCAATGACGCCTTCCCAGCTCGTTATTCTCTCGAGAGCTCAGTGCCACAATCGCTTCTTAAATGGTTGAAGGAGCCGCATGTTATTCTTCAGTCTGCAGCTTGTCTGGCTCTCGGTAACCTCTCTCGTTCAGACCAGGCTTCCACGGCATTTGTGCAGAAGTACCAGGCTCATCTTCCTCTGATCGCAATTCTTTCCGATCCAGAGATCAAAGATGCCCAGCTTCTTCACTCCACACTATCTTTCCTCAAGAATCTCGCAATTCCGGCGCAGAACAAAGCATTGCTGGGGGATCTGCTAGAGCCAGTGAGCGTACCAAGGATATTGACCATCGATACTCTTCCTCAGGTCCAGTTCTCGGCAGTTTCGCTACTTCGTCTGCTGCTTGTGAACTGCCCAGATAATGTTCGTCGAGTTGTCACTCCCAGAACAGCTGAAGGCGAGGGGTCTGGCAAGCACACAACTGTCCATGATATGATCTCGCTGTTTGATCGATCTGATACAGAACCTACCCGGCTCGAAGCCGCACGAAGTGTTGCTACTATATGTCGAGTTCTTCATACAGCACCCATCGAGGATGTTCTTTCTGGATGGAGTTCTGAAACTGAAAAGACACCATTGAGGGATCTTTTCTATGCTGAACATGATCTTTCACAGGTGCTCTCATTCCTCATCACTCAAGAGAAGTGGCCTATTCTAAAATCCGAGGCTTGGTTTGTCTTTGCTCTCATGTCACGATCAAAGGATGGCGCCAAAGTCATCGCCAAAGTCCTTGAGATATCTGGAGCCATGGATGCTCTCAGTTATGCAGTCACCGGAAAGACGGCAAACGAAGAAACACCACAGATCGAGGGTGGTGTCTCCGAAATCCCCCCAGCCATTCCTGAAGAACTAGCATTGGAACCTCAGCAGGTTGACCCGAAACAAAAGGCTAATATGGCCAAGGTGGATAGAGAGAACTGTCTGGTCTTGTGTACCGAAGTTATCAAGAATGGGGAGACTCTTGAGTCAGAGCAAGCTGGTCGTTTACAAAGTTTAATTCGCCAGGGTACAGAGTTGCTGGGGAAAAAGGCTGAAGAGTAGCAGAGTGCAAAAGTAAGGAATAGACACAGATACGAGGAACATAGACATCACTTTACGAATGGTTCAGAGCATTGAAATCATAACGAATAACTTTTTGAAAAAGAGATACCATATGCACGTAATGCATCCATTGACCAAGTAATGATAGAGCAAAGCCGGTGATCATGCAGTAAATTTCTTGAGCTGGACCTAGAGTATCTTTCCTCCATACCCGGCCAAGCCTTTCATCAGAGCCTCGAACCGACGTTGCCCATGTCTCAGAGACGCAAAGAGCAAAACCCTCAAACACCAGTTCCCTTTTTGCAAGTTTATTTCTTAGCCGACTCAGCCTCGGCGGCATCCCGCACACGCTTCTGTCGGGCACCCTCGTATCGGGCGTTGGCACGAGCGACACGGAGAGTTCGGTAAGCACCGGCCTCGATGTTGGAAGGCATGTCACCCTTCTTGATCTCCTTGAAAGCGATGTCGGTGGGGGCAATGGGGAGAGTGGCGGAGATGTGAGAGGCCTTCTCAATCTTGGAGACGTCGGTCTTGGTGTCACCCTTCTTGGGGGCGTTGGATCGGCGGGGGAGGAGGATCAATCGCTCCTGGTAGGCCTTGAGGCGGGCAACGTTGGCAGCAAGGGACTCCTCGCTGAGGTTCTGTCGGCGGAAATCGACAGCGATACCGATGGTGGGAGCGAAAGCCTTGGGGATACCGGCCTCCTGCATGATTGTCAGACCTGCAAATTTTCTGGAGTATCTCGTATCGTGTGCATTCGACCGAGACGCAAAATATCATACCTTGAGCTCAGCCAGGGTGAAACCACGGCCGGAGCGGACACGGCGGTTGTACTTAAGGGTAGGGCATCGCACAACAGGTCGGAGCTTGTCGACAGGGCGAGGAGCGAGGGCAGCAGCCTTGGCCTGACGAGCTGTGCGTCTCCGCGACTTCTTGCCGGGCTATTCCATAGTCAATATTTGTGTGCCAAGTGAATTTCCAAAAAATCGAGATGAATCGTTTCTTCTCTTCTCTTCTCGTCGGGTGTATCGTCATACCTGGTCGAAGTGGGTTCGAACCCGGCGCTGCCAATCCTTGCGGAAGTCTGTTGAAGGAGTCAGTCCCTCAAATCCTCTATCATCTCGTTATTCGGGAATGGTGCGGCTCACGGTTGTTGACGAGCTTCTGGTTGTGCTTGATCGCCTGTAGTAAATCAGGTCAGCAAATGCGAATGCACTCGAGCGCAATGAACATTATCCATCGCATTGGGCATATCTCCATACCATTGTGTCTGCTTGCGATCAACGTGCTCCGATGGTCGATGTCGGTCGTGAGGCGTGTAAAATTCGGAGGGTAGAGGCTTGTCCAATTTCCTACTCCAAGAAGGGTTTTGCCCTGTGGTCGATTCCATTTAGTGGGGTGGAGTCCGAGAATATCAATCACGTGCCTAGTGGGTTTTCGAAATGCATGATCGGGAGATTGTTGCAGCGGTGCCGCCGGGAGTTAGGCGAGCTTGGAGGGACTGGGTGTAAGTGATTCACAACGGCAGCGAGTTGTTGTTGATGGGCAGCAGAAGCCGCAGAAGGCTCTGTATATTATTATGGAGATTCATGAGCATAAATCCAAGCACGGCATCTGTTCTTGTAGGGGAGTTCCCAGGAGAGTGTTTGACGTGCTCGAACTGGAAACTACTCTTGTATGTCTCGTCACCTTGAATCCGTTCAGGTTCGTTGAACATGGAAATGCTTCACCTTCAAAATGTGATTCGTAGTCTTCACATCATGAGAAACGTTTGAAATTTGCATTCAATGTATTTTTGTTCCGTAGTCATTAAATCTGAGATCAGCCATCGTCTTGTACACGGGCAGACAGGGCAAATGTCCCTAGGAAAGCTAAAGCTCTTTATCATTAAGCTCGGACGAAGGAGATACTCTTCAGGCTCTCTGGAGTACAATAGGTACCTACCTAAGATGATATAATGTGTAGATACTGCTCGGTATCAGGATCAGCGAGGTCTTTGTCAAATCATCACTGGTCATGCTTTCCTTCAACACTGAAGTGGCGCTAGTCGCTGCATCTAGATTGTAACTTTCTCTGTGGTAAATGGTACTCCACAACCACCAATTGCGGCAGGTTCACATTCCCTCAGAAAATAATTTCATAAAATCTCAACTTAATTTTGGTTTGGCAGGTGCACACAGGTGCCGGGTAGTTGCACAATTTCAAGCATCCACAAATGGTGGCCCCTGCCCTGCTGCCTGCTGCTGGTGCCTGCAATTTCTCAGGCACCAAATGTAACGCCTCAGTATCAAGGCATCAATCCGTTCTCCATCTGAATATATAACGCAGGTCTCCCTCCCTCCTCTTGTTCAGTTTTTCTTTTCCTCTTCATACTTACCTTGTTGAGAGGAGGCCAGCTCAAGAATTGGCTTCCTCAGCATGGAGGGCCTGCATTGCACATCGCGGAGTCGCTCTTTGCTCTATTGTCCTTCGGGGCCATAGTCGGCGGAATTTTTGATTTAAAACCACACTTTTCATTGTGTCGATGGCTTAATGCTGTCGCATGAAGAAGAGTCTTTTGTGATGATTATCGTAGTTGTATTCAAATGATGCCTTTCGCTTGTAGTGACCTTGTGTTGGCGTGTGTGATGACAAGTGTAGACTCTGCTCAACTCCACCTCCAATCCAAAGGCCACAGGCTACGATTGAATCCTGTCGTAGAAGCATAAACACAACCACTCCCACTCGCCGTAGTCTAACCTGTGAAGTAATATGCTCATAATGTGATATTCCTCGACTCATTTCACTCGGTCACATTATGGCAGGCATTCCGTGGACGTGCTTACTCGACAAGAGGGATATCGCACATTTGACAGGTTTCTCGAGATGTGCTCAACATGAGGAGTACTGCTGTGGTGACTGCAAATGCCAGATCAACTGACGAGCATCTTGAGGGCTTCATCGAAATATCTCCATTCTACGAATAGAGTAGCATAAAACTTCCTTGTCGGCATCAGATGTCAAAATGAAATCGTCAAAGGGTCTTTCAAGCTTGTGCTAAATTTACCCAAGTCTTTTTGGCGCTTGGGATCCAAGTTCTCAAGTAGTCGACATCATCTTCCATTATCTCCATCTTCACAGCCCACCATCCTCTCACCCGAAGCTACTCCGCACCAATCACATTCTCACAATTCCTTCTCGCAGCAGATCGAAAAATCTCATGACACCACTTTCCATCCATCCCGTCAACGGCCCAATCCATTCGATCACCTCGCCCTGGTAATCATTCTCCGTGGAATAAACCCTTCCTCACACAGAGACAATGGCTTCCAGGATGGGCCCCCGGAGCGTAAAGGACGCAACACGATTTACGTCCACAATTCCCCACGCAACATCGAAGGCCGCTCAGAGAACACCACGCATCCCAGGCGAAACACCCGAGCAGCGAGTGAGGAGACTGCGACAGGCTCATCTTGCCGCTCAGCATGCCAGCATTAGCAAGACAGACAAGTTTATCGATGCTTCGAGGAGAATCTTCGATGTAGCGCATCGTTGGACGGTGGGAAGCATTGTGGTGTTCACAGGTACGAACGACTGAACGAGACATTCGACTGAATTCGCCAGCTGACAAGCATTCTAGTTGTTGCAGCTGTTGTCTCCGGATACTCTGTCTGGGATATGGTTCGTTACAACCGAGCCCGCCGAGCCGAATGGGTCGAGGCCCAAAAGCTACTTGAAGCCGATGAGCTTGCCATGGCACGTCTCGCCTACATCAAGGGCGAGGCTACAGAGGACCAGATCCTTCTCGTCGAGGAAGCCAACCAAGCTGCCGAGGCAAGAGGCGAGAAGTTACCACCTTTGCTCGAGGCACCTTCACACCGCACACATTTCGAAGAACACATCAAGCCCACATTTAAGGAAAACACAGAGGAGACTGTTACAAAGCCATCAAGTGGGAAGGGTGTGCTAGGGATTTTCTCTGGTGTGCTAGGCGGCGGAGAGAAGAAGGAGGAGTCAACACAAGACCTCCAGGATTATCAGACACAGTCAGTCGAGTCGGGAACTGTCAAGGTGAGGTTGGAGGAGGCGATGGCAGCAGAGCGGGAGCGTCAACAAAATGGAGGCCCTCTAGACAGGCTGGGTGTTGAGCCTGCAGGTGGCTCAACTCCTAAGAAGTCTTGGTGGAAGTTCTGGTGATGTGTATAAAAATCTAATTGGAAAGAGGAACGGATGGCAACATGAAGGAAAACAAAGCGGAGTGTACGTGGTGGGACCAAAAGGAGTGTATCATATGTGTAGATTGGCAGTGCATTAGACGGCGTCGGGGGACCATCTTGTATGTACCATCAGGGAACAAGTCTACTTACCATATCTATTCAATACCAAGCGATCAAATAAGCGTCACTGATTAGGTTCTTCAATATGGGTCAGAAGATGATGTCTCCATTACTCAAATTGACATTATCGCTATTTTGGTATTGCCATGCATACCTGACGATCTCAAGATCGTATCGCTAACTTCCGATTCCCTATTTCCAGGGTGATCAATGTATGCCTGTTATGACCAAATGCTATCCATACCCGCCCGCTTGCCATTGCCTATAACGCCAAGTAAAAAAATATAAAAAATGAAAAAGAAGGGAAAAAATAAAAGATCGTCTTGAACTGGCAGGTTCCAGTCCGTCCCCCTCAGAGTCCGGCCATGCCTGAACTATGGCCGTCTGTGATAGTCTGAGCTATCAAAGCGTTTGCATCTCCTCACAATGTTGCAAAGGCGTAAGACTACAATTTCCCCTTTTGCCAATGGAACCAAGTGCCCCCGAAACGAAATTACCAAAAGCAAGTTTGCGCTTCTGCCGTTTCTTTCTCCAATCAAGCGGCCTCACACCGCTCTCCTATAGTGAAGGTTGTTTGACAGGATCAAGTATAATCTTCTCATTTCCCTAAGAAACAATGATGTGGTTGAAGTGTCCTGGAACCTTTAAGCGGCACTTTTCGCAGTCCGCTCGGTATCCTATGCT